GGGAAGGAGGGTCTCCAACCCACCCGGGCTCTTCCCCCTTCTCGGACCCTTCCGTGGGAAACGAGCCTTCAGGAGGGCTGGGCCCGCTGCCTCCATCCCTCTACAAGGGAGTGTTCGACTACGGCTCCCATGATCCCCAGGCCAGGCCAGGCCAGTTGTGTCTCGCCTTTTGTGTTGCCTGAGAGTGATGGCCTCTGTAGATCCCCAGGTCGGAACCCTGTAGCTGATGATGCCTGTCTAGTCCCCTTGCGCTGACTGGGGGATGATGGGGAGCATGGCTGTGTATTTGAAGTTCAGGATCCTCTGGCCGTCTTTAACCACCCATCCTTTTGTCATTAAACAAACAACAATATTGTTGAAGCTTCAGCCAACGTTGTGGGTTTGCAGCTCTTTCTGATTTCACCTGTCAAGTAGAAAGTGGGTTTCGGATTGGGGCTGAGCAGAGCAGCGCTTGGCCTGTTTCTTCAGCAGTTGTTTTCAGTCCTGTATTGTTTTAATGGCCAGAGAGAGAGAGAGAGAGAAAGAGGCACTGTTTTCCCATTTAGGAGTTGCACCTGTGCTTTGTTCATCAGTAGGAAAACCAAAAGAGAAACGGTACCATTTGTGCTCCCCCCCCAAAAAAAAAATTAGGTCTGGATCCTTAGTTCTTCTTTTAAATCAGTGCCTGGAAATATTGCGCTTTTTAGAAATAAACTCCAGGCATCCCCAGGCATGAGGAGTCGAGGGCTGTGCTGCTTGGATGATTGCCTAACCTGCTGGCCTCCTTCATTCCTTCTAGGTCAAGCCCGTTCCTCCTGAAGATGGCGCTCTCCAAAAGGGAGCTGGATGAACTGAAGCCATGGGTGGAGAAGACAGTAAAGCGGGTCCTCGGCTTCTCAGAGCCCACGGTGGTCACAGCTGCTTTGAACTGTGTAGGGAAGGGAATGGACAAGAAGAAAGCAGCAGGTAACTTTCCTCCCCTGCTGACTTTGTCCGAAAGCAGTAGGCGACAGTTTTATGTTGGGTTATTATGTACCTATGGAGGGGGTCAGACGGCTGGTCCATTTGATACCAGTATTGGAACCAGTTGCCTGCGCTTTCTGATTTCATCTGCCAGCCCACCCACCAATTGATAATTGAATGTGTCAAATGAAATCCTCCATTCCACCTCCTTCCCCTCCAAACTCTCAGATCATCTCAAGCCCTTTCTGGATGACTCCACCTTGCGGTTTGTCGACAAGCTCTTTGAAGCAGTTGAAGAAGGGCGAAGTTCCCGACACTCCAAGTCCAACAGCGACCGGAACCGGAAGAGAGAGTTGAAGGTGAGCCAAAGTCTGGATTGGCTTTTGGCCACATGCCTAAAAGTTTAAGGGGAAAAAGGTTTTTTTTCCCCTCATTGTTCATTTAGCAACCAGCCACAACAAAACACTGTACGCACCTTCTTCCTCAGCTGAAGGACCGGGTACCTTTTTTCTTATTCCTAAGAAGTGCCATTTTGGATGAGACCACTGATCCATCCAGACTCAGGGTTCATGGACATTTGATCTTCCATATGTTTTGCACTTTGCCTCTCAGAAGCTGGTGTATCTCGTGCCACGGCCCTTACATGTTTCATGTTAAATGCTAGCTCTCTCTTTTGAACTTGTTCTGTGTCCCGGGCTTGTGGATGAGGACCTGTCTTTGCAGCCCAGAGGTGGGTAAGTTTCAGAGATCAGATTTCCCCTGCTCAGGACCTGCTGCATGCTGTCCCCTACAACAACTTAAAAAATAAAAAACAGCCCTGAAACCTCAGCCACTGAAATGACTCAGCTAATTGTGCTGGTTCAGCATAGCTCAGCGGGCTTATCCTTTTTAGATACAGAAAAGTAACTATTTGGGTCTACTCGCTGTTCTCCATCTGTATGGGGGATTTTAGGATTTATAGTCCAGAAGTCACCTTTCTGGCCTCTGGCCACAGATGTCTGGCTCTGAGCAGTCCCTGTCCCAAGCTTTTCTGGTTCTTTTCCCTCAGGATGTGTTTGGGGAGGACTCCGAAATATCGAAAGAGTCTTCAGGAGTCAAGAAGCGCCGAATCCCTCGCTTTGAAGAGGTGGAGGAGGAGCCCGAGGTGATCCCCGGCCCACCAACGGAAAGCCCAGGGATGTTGACGAAGCTGCAGGTAGGCCTCGATGGGCAGGCCCATAGTTGGTCCCAATATATAGAAAAAACAATCTTGAGTGCCAGCGAAATGAACTGAGCGCTGGAATTATACCAGAGAGGCCACTGTTGGAGTCTTTGCTCAGCCACAAATGTTTACGGGGCCTTTACCTTAAGGGCCCAGGTCAGTGTTTCTTGGCTGAACTGTTTCGTGGGGAGGGAAGCCTTTTGAGAAAGAAGAGCAGGATAAAAAAAGCAATTGAGCACCTGTCATTCCTTTACCATGAGACAGTTTCCTCTCTGTGAGAACAAGATAGCAGTGGAAGTCGGAGGGTGCTATCAAAGCCTTTCCGTAACTGCAAGCATCCGAGAAATCAGAATGGCAGGCAGTTTCTTCCTTGGAAGAAAGATGCTCTGGAATGGGTGACCCTGGAGGTCCAGCCCAGAAGAGCCAGGGGTTGGTTTGGGGCCAAGGAGGAGTGCTGTGTGTACTCAAGGAGAACCAGTGCTATCTGTCTTATTTCTTTAGATCAAGCAAATGATGGAAGCAGCAACACGGCAGATTGAAGAAAGGAAAAAACAGCTGAGTTTTATCAGCCCACCTGCGCCTCAGGTACAGCCTTCCGGAATTAGCAGTGAAACCACTTCGTGCAGAACCAGATGCATACTATGCCTGTTCCTCTTCAAGGCTGCACAAATCATGCCACTCCCTTACTATTCAGTGCGGGGCCTCTGGTGAACTTTAATTCTTGAGATGAGCAACTCCTACTAATGTAACTGGATCCCTTAAGTGTAGGGTTCAGCCCATGGAATCACAATTGCAAAGGACAATGGAAAGGGCCCATGGGTTGCGGAACCTTCTGGCATCCAGTGCCTTTCAGGACAGGCTCTTCGACCTTTTCCCCTTTCCCTCACCTGCTTTTCCCACACTTTTGTCTCAACTGGTGTTTTCCTGTTCTTGGCTGCATCTTGTAGCTGAGAGTTGCAAAGCTTCCTCACAAAGATTGCAGGATCTATTTCGCAGAAATGACCTGGGGATTTTCTTCTTCTTCTTCTTCTCCTCTGCCTCTCAGCCTAAAGCCCCGACGACCACCCAGCCCGAGCGCCTCCCCATCGGCAACACCATCCAGCCCTCTCAAGCGGCCACCTTCATGAACGACGCCATTGAGAAGGCACGGAAAGCAGCCGAGTTGCAGGCCCGGATCCAGGCTCAGCTGGCATTGAAGCCGGGGCTGATTGGCAACACAAACATGGTGGGCTTGGCCAACCTGCACGCCATGGGGATCGCACCGCCGTGAGTATCGCAACGCGCTGCTGAGCAGTGTTGGAGGAGGGAGGGAGGGCCCGGTGAACCCTGAATGGAATTCTGCCCAGTGGCTTCTCCTTCTTGGGTCGGGGTGGGTTCTGTGGGCCCAGCCATCGGGCCAGCGAGAGACTCCACCCTCTGCTCCTGTCTTTGGGTAGAACGTTGCGGCCTCCTGCGTTAGGCAGGAGGGCTCCCGCGCTGGAGGGGTGGAGTCTAGTCTGATAGCCTGCGGCTCCGTCAATTTCTTCCTTTGGATCTGCAGAGACAAGGAAGGGCAAGTGCTTGGCATCACCCCAGTTCCACGCGTTCCTTGGTGAGTTCCAGGTGATTTGAGCGGGCAGGTAGTGGCACTTAGTGGGGCAGAGAGGTGAAGCTGCCGGGCACTCAGGGTCCCAAATGGACTTCTTTTCCTTGGCTTGCCTGGATGGAGAAACAGCTGGAGGTTTGTAGGAGGAGGGATCGATGTGGTGACCCACCTTCTTTCAGCATTATTAACCTCCACTGCCTTGAAGCTTATATGGTGCCAACTTCATGGTGCCAATTTCCTAGGGTACCACTAAGGGGGTGGGGAGGTGTTGGGGGAGGAGACACCCGAACCCCTTGTTCCATAGACTTGACTTCAGGATGGATGGACATGGCCCCAAGTTTGCTGACCTCCACTGGAGTCACTGACGAGTTAACGAGAGCTGCGTTGTAACCAAAGTTGTGTTTGGGATGTCTTGGCCCAGGAAAGTTGAGCTGAAGGACCAGACCAAGCCAACGCCGCTGATCCTGGACGAGCAAGGGCGCACCGTCGATGCCACCGGCAAGGAGATTGAGCTGACGCACCGCATGCCCACCCTCAAGGCCAACATCCGGGCTGTGAAGAGGGAGCAGTTTAAGCAGCAGCTCAAGGAGAAGCCCTCCGAGGACATGGAGTCCAACACGTACTTCGACCCCCGGGTCTCCATCGCCCCGGCTCAGCGGCCGAAGAGGACCTTCAAGTTTCACGACAAGGGCAAGTTTGAAAAAATCGCCCAGAGGTTGCGGACGAAGGTAGGGCCGCTTAGGGGGACGGGAAGGGTTGCTTTCTTCTAGACAGACAGAGCAGGATGGGTGGGAACCTTCCTGCCAGTGGCTGTTTTCTTGCAAGCCCCCCTCAAGCGCCCCTGAAAACTAGGCTGCTAAATTTTCCCCACTGGCTGGAAACACAAGCATCTTGCTGGCTTGAAATGGCTTGTAGTGTTTTGCAGTGAAAAAAGGAGGAGCCACTGCTGAAAACAAACACCATTTGGGTTTAAATATTCAACTGTGGGTTATTTGCATACTTTGGGCAGAAGGACCTTTAAAGGGCATTTAGAGCCCTCGGCATCCTCGAATTTCATTACTCTTGGGGGTGTAGCCTGTGGCTGGATCTAGGAAGACAGAATTCATTGGGGACCTGCTGACATTGCTCACCCCTGTTCTAAGAGAGTAGAACGCAAGGGAAGCCTGTCCTCAGCCCACTGGCATTCGAGTCCTGTCGTCAGAAACAAAAGAAAAAAAAATATATTTTGAAGGAAGGTTAACATTGCTGCTCACTAGGTGAGTAGCTCTTCCTAAGCCTCACGCTAGAGACAGAAGGGGAAGGTTCAGGCCCACCCAGCTTGGGGCGTTTTCCAGCAGCATCCTTCTTGGGACTGCAAGAAACTCCAGCCAAGAAAATTCATGCCCCCACCTCCAGGCCAAACTGTTTTTCAAAGGGTTTTTTTCTTTTCTTTGTTCTGCTCTGTTCCTGAAAATGCTTGTGTGGTTGGCAGGCCCAGTTAGAAAAACTGCAGGCTGAGATCTCACAGGCTGCCAAGAAGACGGGCATCCACACTTCGACCAAGCTGGCTCTTATCACCCCTAAAAAGGAGCTCAAAGAAGGGGACATTCCGGAGGTGGAGTGGTGGGACTCGTATATCATCCCCAACGGCATTGACGTGTAAGTTTCCGGGCTGCTTGGTCATGTGATTCCTGTGGAGGGAAGGCGACAATAAGCACCTGGGGCTTCGTTTTCATGCATTTCATCTGTCTCGACTTGGCCAGATGTCTCAGTCAAAAAAAATTCTCAGACCCATGGGATTCCTCACCTCCCTTCCTCGAGACAAGGAGCTCTATTATTTTTCTCCTTGAGGTTTTTTGTTATTTGGCCATGTGGTCTTCTCTGCAGAACCAGTGTCCTTTCTGTGTGAGAAACAAAGCACAAAACACCTAACTAGTTGTTTAAAAAAAGAAGCAAATCTCCCTTCACAATTTCTGATCCTTCAAAATCCGTGCCACAAAGTGTACTTACTGAAATTAATTTGTAGAAAAAAGATTTGCTTGTCTCTGCCCGCAGTGCTGTCAAACCCACCACCTTTTTGTAGGGCGAGGGGAATAGCTTTACAGTGTGCAGGGATGAGAGACGTGAAGCTTTACTTCCCTGTTCTAGCGTAGATCATCTTAGGCCTTTTAACAAGTGCCCATTCTTTCCTTTGTGCTCTTTAGAAAAGCTGATGATTTTCTTAAAAGAGAAGACTACTTTGGCATCACAAACCTGGTGGAACACCCAGCTCAGTTGAACCCTCCAGGTAAGTGCTTCAGTTTGGGTTCTGCACCAGAGAAGGTTCCTGGCTGAGGAGCCAGTGGGACAGCCCGCTTTTAATTCCAATGAGTGGAGCAGAGGAGAGGGTGCTTAGAGCCACTGCAGGCAATACAAAGTGGTTTGATGAGAAGACTCTTCCCTTTGGAAGTCCATCCCTTCCGCCACCCCCACCTCCCAAAAATCACCCCCCAGACCCCTATGTGCATCTTTGGCACTGTCATCCTTGGATTCTGGCTGTCATCTTCCTGAGATCAGAAGCCTCAAAGCAGAATGTTTTTCAAAGAGGAGCTACACAGGATCTGCTCTTCAGGAGGAGAGAGTAGCTGAAATGTAAAAATGGATATTCTCTTTCATGTAGTCAATAAAAGGTAGCGGAACACCGGTTTTGGAATCGGTCTCATAACCAGTCTGCCCTTGCCTGCGTTTTTTTCCCTCCTGAGAGCAGGAATTCCTGCTTCTGTCGGCCGCTTGACTTTCTGCTCCGTTTCCTTTCCTCTCCTCTGTCTGCCCCAGTGGATAGCGACACGCCAGTGACGCTGGGGGTCTACCTAACCAAAAAGGAGCAGAAGAAATTGCGGCGCCAGACCCGCCGGGAAGCCCAGAAGGAGCTGCAGGAGAAAGTGCGGCTGGGCCTCATGCCGCCTCCCGAGCCCAAAGGTAGGCTCTTCCTGGCACACGCACGGCAGCTGTTGTTGTTGTTGGGGGTTTTCTTGTTTGTTTGTTTGTTTTAAGGAAGAGATGCCACATGTCAGCCTTGTCCCTCTGAATGCTGGTGCGTGTTTGTTTGTTTTTTCCTCTGCTGCAGTACGAATCTCAAATTTGATGCGAGTTCTTGGAACGGAAGCCGTTCAGGACCCAACCAAAGTAGAGGCCCATGTGCGAGCCCAGATGGCGAAGAGGCAGAAGTAGGGCTGGTGTATATATATATACATACATTTATTTATTTAGCTATTTTTAAATTCCTTACTCTTATTCCTCTTCTTTCTTATTGCCCTTAGAGTAAAAGTTCTTCTTAAAACCTGTTGATCTTATCCTTGTTCTTGTATTTTTTTACATCCTGCATCTTCCTCTTGGAAGTTCAGAAAGGAAGCCGGGAAGGGTCTAGGGAGAGCCAGGGTGGTGTAGGAGAGGGTGGCCAGGGGTGGCCTGAGCTCACACCCTGATCGCGCCGTGTCCTTGGGCTGGTGGCGTTCCAGCAGCTCAGCTGCTTCCCAGGATAAAACGTGCCATTCTTTCGTTCTGCTTAATGGTTCAGGAGGATGCCTACCCACTTGATCCTCCTCTGAAGGGAGACGGGACAACCCTCTGATGGTTTCACTGAGGGGAATTTGAATGTGTGGTTCTCACGAATCCTTTCCCAGCCCTTGAGGGGAAGCCCTGTGCTGCGGGCATTTATGGGTCCATGGAAGGCTTCCCGTCTGGTTCCTAGCATGTCCTTTCCTTGCTTCCGCAGAGCCCACGAAGAGGCCAATGCTGCTCGCAAGCTCACAGTGGAACAGAGGAAAGCGAAAAAGGTGAAAAAGCTAAAGGAAGATACTTCCCAGGGGGTTCATATCGCTGTTTACAGGTGAGATGTGCACGTGGTCTGTCCCACGTCTTGAAGGGGTGTTCCTGCCCCTTCCCTTTTGAGCTTGGTCATCCCCACCCCCATCCCGGGGTGCCTTTCTCTTGTCTCTCCCCTCAGGGTGCGGAATCTAAGCAACCCAGCAAAGAAGTTCAAAATTGAAGCAAACGCAGGCCAGCTGTACCTCACGGGGGTTGTCGTTTTGCACAAAGATGTCAACGTGGTGGTTGTAGAAGGAGGTGAGAAAGGGATGGACTTCCTGTCAGCGGGGCTGCGAATTTCCCATGGCGGTGGCTTGCGTGTTCTGAGAACCTCCCCCACCCCTATGAGACAGCTTGTATGAGATCTGGGGTTATGGGGAGGCTCACCTGTGACGCTTAATAGACCATCGCACCCGGACCCTTCACGCTGCTAGCAAGTGTGGCCTCTCTCTTTCCTGGGTGGTGGAATGGAAGAGGAAAGAGGGGCAGTCTACCCACATCAGTCTCTTGCCTTGCTCACTCCTGGGATTGATCCCACCTGCTGTTCATCCACCCATACCAGATTACCCACCATAAGGGGTTGTGGCCTTTAGCCCTTCCAGCCAAGTCTTCCCACCAGCGCAGCTCAGCAGAAAAGAAGCTACTGCTTCATGTTATCCAAAAATTAACACAAAGAACTCATTCCTGCAGAATATTATGATTGTGGCAGGTTCTGGCAGAGTTTTGGAAAAAGGATCAAATATTTCCCCAGATAATAAACAGGACTTGTGTTTCTATTTCAGTGGAAGATCTGCTAATGCTGCTTGCTTCATTTCCTTGCTGCAAGCTGTCATCGTTATGATGCCACTTGGGGGCCTGAAGGCTGATGTACAGCAACGTATGAATTAAAACACTCCCTGATAAGGTCTTCTTTATTTCCTCCACTTCCCCTTAGGGCCTAAAGCGCAGAAGAAGTTCAAGCGGCTCATGCTACATCGGATAAAGTGGGACGAGCAGACCTCAAGCACGAAAGGAGATGGTGAGAAGACATGCCTTCCTGTTTTGAGGGTCCTGGTGTGGAAGCTGTGGTTTATCTCCAGAGGCCGACTGCCTGTTTTCTTCCACAAGAGGGGCTTTGTATACAGGCAGCCCCAGGGACTGTCCCTCTTCTTTTACTTGCCGATTGTGTTCACCCATATCTTTTTGTCTTCCCTTCCCTCCTCAGAGGATGATGAATCTGATGATCCCAGGAACCGTCTCTGTTCTTTTTCCTTGCTGATTGTTCACCCACATCTTTTTGTCTTCTCCTCCCTCCTCAGAGGATGATGAATCTGATGAAGAGTCTGTGAAGAAGTCAAACAAATGCTCTCTGGTTTGGGAGGTATGTTGGCGTGGCTGAAGGAATGAGGTGGGAGGGGAGGCCCCTGTACCTCAGCTCCCAGGCTGCCTTGGCTTCTGCAAGAGTTGAACCCCCTGTTCCAGTAGGCCCTCTCCTTTTTTTGGTTCTTTTTTCGTGTGTTTTCTGGCGATGTCCCCCTTTGAAGGATGATGAGATGGCACAGCCTTCTAGACATATATGCGTTCATAACCTGGGGGCCCACCTTCCACCTGGGGCCGATGGATTGCTTGGAGGATCCGTTTGTGTGAAACCTGTTCTCTGTCTCTCGGTTTGATTGGCCCGCGCTTCTGAACAAACTGGCAGACTTTTGCCAGATCTCTAAGTAACCCTACTAATCAGATGTTGCCATGTTCTTTAATTGAGTTTTTAAGTGGCTTAGAATTAAGCTGGGGCAAAAAAAGTTTGAAAATAAGTGGGGAGAAAAACCCATTAGGGTAAAATACTTGAGATGCTTACCTAAAATAATATTGTTCATAATGCAGGGAAAGCCATTCTTTGAAAGAACGCTTCTACCCAAAGTTATTTTGTTATGTTTCCTGCACCCTTCCTGCTGCCACATCTTGGGCCCCTCAGTATTTCAGGTCCTTCAGAATCTCACAAACCTTGGGATTTTGTTGCAGTTCGAAGCCTGCCTCTTTGCTTTTAACCTCACCTTGGCTTCTCTCTCTGACTTTTCAGGGTACAGCGAAAGAGCGCAGCTTTGGAGACATGAAATTCAAGCAGTGCCCCACTGAAAACATGGCACGGGAACACTTTAAAAAACACAGCGCGGAGCATTACTGGGACCTGGCTCTGAGCGAGTCCGTGTTAGAATCCACAGACTGAAGGCCTTTTCCATCAGCCCCCCCTTCGAGCATTTTTTTTGGGTGGGTGTGGGTGGGTGTGGGTGTTCGCTATTAAAAGCAAGAACTGAGCTGAGACCTTGGACATAGAGAGCCCCCTCTTCCCTTTTCTCCCGTCAAACCCTTTCACCCAAGTACAGTACAGTGCGTGCAATTAAAAGAAATATTTTTCAGAAACAGATCAAAACTTGGATTTTTTTTTTTAATGGACTGCATCCGTTTGTGGATCTTGGTGTGTAAGCTTCAGCTTTGCCCTCATGCTGTCTGCGGAGAATTCATCTTCGAGCCTGTGGAAATGGCAGCAAAAGGAAATTGTTGGGCTCTTTGGTCTCTAAAGGTGCACAGTGCCCCCCACCCCCATTTTTTTCTTTTTTGTTTGTTTGTTCCTGTTTTGCTTCCTCTTTGTTTCCAGTTCAATAGTTTTATTTGAATACTAGGCAACAAAAACAAGGTGTCTCCGTGTGCAAAGGAAGAACAGGAAGAAGAAGAGAGACGATGGAGCCATGTAGGAGGGACTCATTCTGATGGATGTGAGGGTGCAGAACACAACGTGCCACCTTGTACAGCTGGCAATAGGAGCTGGGGATTTAGCCCGCATCCTATATTTACACAATAAACTTTTTTTTTTGCTAAAAAGCTTAGAAACAAGAACAACCGTGTTTCTTTTCCTGGTGTTTTTGAACAGTCTGTTTACTGTTTCCATTAAACCAGTGGTATGAGTTCCCGAGGCTTCAGGGTTTGGCACGAAGAGAGATGAACAGCAAGAAACGCTAAGTGTATTTATGCTGCATCAGACAAAAGGTTTGACTCAGGCAAGAACTGGCCGGTCAGGGTCGTGTTTGCATCTCCTGGGCCCCTCCACCACCGGATGGAGAAGAAAGGATTGGTGTTGCACTCAGAAGACTCCCTGGAGTTACAGTGGCTTGCCTGTCCTTTAGGTTTACAGAACAAGAAGCAACCAAGGCATTTGCTTCGGGGGGCCCACAAGCAGGAGCTGAAGCCTGCAGCCCACAAGTATTCTGAGACAGGACTGTTTTTAAACATGGAGTATCTATGTTGGTTTCCCATCTCTTATCAGGTGAATCTCTATCAATGTCTCAATTCTTGATTTAAATCCACTTGAGACATGTTTTGTTGCTTCTACTTGTTACAGTACATGCCTTAGCTCTGTTAATTTCAGAATATTTATATCCTTTCTTTCCAACAATTGTGCCTAAAGAAGCCAGCAACAAGTGGGAAAAAAGACAGTAAAGCGTTTAAAAAAATACAGATGCGCTTGAGAGAAGTGACACTGATGCCTGTTCTATAGTAGCAGGTAGACTCCCATCAATAATGCTTGAATATCTTTCCACTCAGAAATGTACCAACAGCCATTGGTTTTGTTATCTGTCCTTGACGTTGAAAGCAAAGGTTTTAAATGCAGAAGTATCCCTCTTCTGTTTCTGGAGACATTTGATACGTTATTCTGGAAGTGTTGCTCTCCCCCTTCCCACCCTCAAGTTTCAGCCCACTATCTACTTCCATTTCCACTCATTTAATTTGGGAACAGGATTCTGATCACATACATCTCTCTCTCTCTCTGTGAATAAAAACATAGCTTTTGGGGCTGTCACAACAAAGTACTGTTATGGGAGAGCTTTTAAATTGTCCACAACCCTTTTCCTAGCCTGATAAACATTTCCAGAGAATCTGAAAGGTTGCACAGACTTGTGGAATTGTAACTGGTCGTAATAAAAGCTGCCCACTTCTGATTTTTGCTATGTAAATGTCTGAAGGTGATCTCTGAGGGTTCTTCTTATGCCCAGGCTATCCTGCCATGGACTGAAATGGATGAAAGTTAATTTTATTGACTAAGTGGTTTGACAGCATAGGACCGGCTGTTGCAGTGTAGATGAATTCAGCTTACAGGGGAAGGTTGTCAGGCTTTGGAAATGTTAGTACTGTAGCTGCCCCTGTGATCGTCTCTGGAATTGGGATAAAGATACTGAAACCGCTCTTGGTTTTCATGTCTGAAATCATGGAAGTAGCAAGCCGCCTGGGTTTATATGGCATGAGCATAAGAAAGAAGGTCCTTTTCTTGTGGGCTTGAGTCCGATTCCTATCCTCTCGGGGCTTTGCAAACCGAATTCAGCACTTCCTCAGAGCATACAGGGATTATTTCCAAGCAGAGGTACCTTTGTGGTTGTTGTTTTTTTTTAAACAAAAAGTTGTTGCCTAAGAAACGGACCAAAGGGAGTTTGCAGAAACCTGAAAGGCCTCAAGCGTATGCCTGAGGTCAATGGAGAAGAGTTAAAATTGAGGAAGAGTTTGGGAAAGGATTAAAAAGTCTCTCTCTCTGTGTGAATAAAAACATAGCTTTTGGGCTGCCACAACAAAGTACTGTAATGGGAGAGGTTTTAAATTGTCCACAGCCCTTTTCCTAGCCTGATACACATTTCCGGAGAATCTGAAAGGTTGCACAGACTTGTGGAATTGTAACTGGTCGTAATAAAAGCTGCCCACTTCTGATTTTTGCTATGTAAATGTCTGAAGGTGATCTCTGAGGGTTCTTCTTATGCCCAGGCTATCCTGCCATGGACTGAAATGGATGAAAGTTAATTTTATTGACTAAGTGGTTTGACAGCATAGGACCGGCTGTTGCAGTGTAGATGAATTCAGCTTACAGGGGAAGGTTGTCAGGCTTTGGAAATGTTAGTACTGTAGCTGCCCCTGTGATCGTCTCTGGAATTGGGATAAAGATACTGAAACCGCTCTTGGTTTTCATGTCTGAAATCATGGAAGTAGCAAGCCGCCTGGGTTTATATGGCATGAGCATAAGAAAGAAGGTCCTTTTCTTGTGGGCTTGAGTCCGATTCCTATGCGCTCGGGGCTTTGCAAACCGAATTCAGCACTTCCTCAGAGCATACAGGGATTATTTCCAAGCAGAGGTACCTTTGTGGTTGTTGGGTTTTTTTAAAACAAAAAGTTGTTGCCTAAGAAACGGACCAAAGGGAGTTTGCAGAAACCTGAAAGGCCTCAAGCGTATGCCTGAGGTCAATGGAGAAGAGTTAAAATTGAGGAAGAGTTTGGGAAAGGATTAAAAATGCAGAACACAGCCAAACAGCCTGAAAAACCTACAACCACCATCAGATCCCAGCCGCGAAAGCCTTCGAGAATAGATTAAAAAGTAGTTTATTTAAATGAAGCTTTAAGAAGGGGCAGTTATTTAGTTTCTCTCCAGTGTGAAAGTGAATGTTTTTGATGTACAGGAACATCGAGGAAGGCGATGGTCTCAATTCCTAACTCTGTCAGGAATGGGAACACGTGATTGCTGCCCAGAGCCTTCTGGGAGTTAGGCACAAGGGGTGCAAAGGCTTCTGGGAAGACACCCTACGATGGCGCTCTGGTCCTGACGCACACGAGACGAGCGACGGTGGCTCTTTGCGCATGCGTAATAGTCGCGGGCGCCACCGCCTCCTTCCCGCGCAGGCGCTTTCAAAGCTTGCCCGCCTGAGATGAACGAACGCGCCTCGTATAAAATGGCGGTCGGAGGCTTCTCTTAGCGGCCGAAGAAGGCGGCGCTCAGGCAGCGCGGCCCATGAGGAAAGAAGGGAGCAGGCTTTAAAATCAGTGGAAGTGTCGTTATTGAGGATGAGGATAAGAATTAAATAGCTGGGGGACAAAGCGGGCGGGGCTAATCTTTCAGAGTGGCAACCTATTTCACTCGTCGTCCCACCCCCCTGAAGCTCTCTATTGGCTGCAGTCCCCCGAGCTGCTTCCTCATTGGGTGATTCTCGTGACCAGCAAGGTCCTATCAGCGGAAGGGCGAGAGCGCGCGCGGCCAGGCGCCCACCAATAGCCGCTCGACGGGGGCGGGACGTTCCACCGCCTCGGCATCCTCGCCTAGTCCCGCTTAGGGACCAGAAAGCCACGCCCCCTCTGGCTTCCTGCTGCGCCAGCCTTCTCGGAAAGGAAACTTTCCATTTGGAAACGGCGAGATCCTGGCTCGTGCGAAGGCGGGAAGGAGACTCGCTCCGACTGGGTTCTCCCTGCCAGTTACACTGTGCCAACTTGGGGGAGGAGGACGGAGCCAAGGGTCACCCCCGCCCTCCCATAGAATAAACGACTGAGGTTCCCCCTTCCTTGGGATATTTGCAGAACAGATAAATGCCGTCTCGATTACTGGGCATAAGCAACGTCAATGCCCTCGCAGGCCCTCTCTAGGCAATCAATGCACGTCCAAACATGCA